TGCCGAGGAGCGTTTGAGGGCGGTCCAAAATGCCTAACGTCGCCTTCGGAAGCCCATAAGAAGAGAGGAGGCAGGCTTCGGACAGGCCACAGAGAGGCCGCAACAGGCCTGCCAGCTGCCGAGGAGGGTTTGAAGGCGGTCCAAAATGCCTAACGTCGCCTTCGGAAGCCCATAAGAAGAGAGGAGGCAGGCTTCGGACAGGCCACAGAGAGGCCGCAACAGGCCTGCCGGCTGCCGAGGAGGGTTTGAAGGCGGTCCAAAATGCCTAACGCCCATAAGAAGAGAGGAGGCAGGCTTCGGACAGGCCACAGAGAGGCCGCAACAGGCCTGCCAGCTGCCGAGGGAGGCAGGCTTCGGACAGGCCACAGAGAGGCCGCAGCAGGCCTGCCAGCTGGCGAGGCCTCGGACAGGCCTTTGGAAGTGCTTGGAAGGGTTCTGCTAGGCTTGGCCAACTGCTTCACCCTGCGGTGTCCCAGGCGCCTCCCCGCCTAGGCTTTGGCTATAGGCCGGGGTCGGCGGATATAGGTTGGAGGCCATCGCTCTTAGGTTGGAGGCCATCGCTACTAAGTTACTAGTTTGCAGGCCATCGCTACTAGGGTGGAGGCCATCGTGTTGGCTTGAAGGCGTCGCGTCCAGATGAAGGTAGCCAGATCGCCTCGAATGGATACTCTGGTCCGCCCTCATTTGCTGCCGGGTCTTCATGTGAACGGGTGCTGTCATTGAGAGGAGGGCCACAATCGTTTTTGCGTTGCTGGTTGCAGGTTCAGATGCCTAGTGCTGATGGGAAAGATTGTTCATCGGAATGGCATTGAGTTGCTTTGCATCGCTGCCGCTGAGTTTTCCGGCTCAGCTTCAATGGGCTTGATCTGATAGAACTTGTGGTGTACATGGGTCTCGCAGATGCACAGAATGAGTCCGCAAGATTTGCCCTGTTACTGAGACTTGGCACGATCATCACTGTGACGACTCTGACATTCCAAAGATGGCAATTTTGGTTTCAAGCCGCAAGCCGGCCTCATTTTTTGAACTTCAATCTTCATGGCTTCCCACGTCTGATCCTTTTCATTCCTTTTCTCAGTCCCTCTCTGCTAGGAAGACAAGTACCGCTCTCCTAGAGACCTTCAATCCAAGAACAACTACATTGGACGCCTACTTTCAGGATGCTGAGTTTCTGCAGAATCCATTGCTTGGAGAGGTGGAGTTGAATTTTGTCCACCAAGTGTTCTATGGCTGCCACAGATACAGTAAACTGCTGAAACTGTTTGTCACCAGCTTCATCTACAAAGAGCCCACCACTGCCCTGCGTTCCGAACAGCCTCTTTACAACATTCTGGCTTATCTACTTTTTTTCAGGCAGGCCTGGATGGACGATGTGTCCCTTGAGTCTGTTACTGTACTTCCATGTTTTGTGCTTCATGCTTGCCTTCCGGTATGTATCTCCTTTCGCTTTCGACAGATGTTTTAACATGTTTTCACAGACTTCCGTATTTCTGCAGGCTTGAAGAAGTTGGCATAGAGAACCTCCGGCAGTTTGTCAATTGTGGCTATGGATCCCCTCCAGCCCTTTCTGGTTTGCTGCAGCTTTGAATAGGTTGTAAGACTATGGCACCTTTTGGTTGGCTGCCTGGCTTTGAGCCCACTCTTCTTTCCTTGACTCAGGCAGTATGCTATGGACAAAGAAGAGCTGGAGAAGTGGGTAATGGAAGAGTGGTTGAAACACTACGACCCGTGTTTCCTGGAGGAGGAGTACGCATGCTGGATGGGGTACGGCTCAAACAAAGAGACCAGGGACCCACAGATGTTGGTTTATTGGTTTGTTTTTCTTCGCACATGACCTTGGGATGTAGTATTTCTCAGCCTGCTCGTACTGTGGAATTTCATCTCAATTCCGAAGAGCTTTTGACAGACAAATGACTGGAGGGACTTTTGAGGGAGTCTTGAGTCTTGAGGTAGATTCCCGCAGGAGATAATGGGGCGATTGCATCGCAAAGAGCATCACTTGCGGCCTTTGCTTAATGAAATGGAGCTGAAAGCAACGGGCATGTTGAAATCTGGTGGGGAAGCTGGGCCTCCTGGCACTGTAAAATCGAAGAGGCCGCTCACCGACTTTCAGCCGTTCAATTTGACTGCTGTAAAGCCAAGGCACGGGCCGAGGGCATTTTTGGTCACCACAGTATGAGCGTGCACACACACACACATTCAGGATAGAGTGTGTACGGTCTGAATGCCACATTATGCCACACGGAAACCTAGGTAAGCCAAAGGCCTGAGAGTGCAGGTTAAAGATGTTAAAGGAATATGCAACGGGGTTCAACCATCAAATCCTTCAAGTCCAAAAAGGTGGAACTGAGTAACAAGTTTCACCAACTCAACATGGTTGTATGCTGGGTCCTTGGCTTAGCCCAGGTGTCATTGCAGTGCAAGGAAAAGAAGGTAAACGTCTGTGCGTGCGTCCACAGACTCTTCCACTCATTTCTTTAGCTTTGTTGGCTAGCGTTGAGGAATGAGCCGCTAGCCCCCTGCTCAGCAGTAGCGGGGAAACGCCAACAGGCTTCCTCTGATTCCAAGGCGCACACACACAGAGACAAGTGTGAACACCCACGTGCTAGTATCTCGGATGTTGACATCGTTCTGCCAACCTACAATTGGGTTTGACAATCATCCTATCGGAGAGCAGTTGAATGACTTGTCAGAGGTACCAAGTCGCTGCAGAGTTGAGGCAATTTGTCCCCCAGAATGGCCACAGAGTCTACTAACGCGTCAGGCTCATTGCAGAACCTGATCATCACATCGAAAAGGACTTGATTGCAAACCCGGTGCCTGGCTTCTTGAACAAGACCAACCTTGCCAAGATTGCAGACGAAAGGAAGCGGCAGATGGAAGAAAACAAGGCCAAGGTCGCCATGAAATACTCAGCGGCTGACGAGTTCACGTTTGAGACTGCGCAACGTCGGGATCACGCTTCGGTGCTGGAGGAGCTTCGGGCAAAGGCAGAAGAGAAGTTCATGGAAGAGTGCACTTTTCAACCACAAGCAGCGAAACGGATTGTGCCACGGGATGATGCTATGGTGAGGCAGACAGTGGCTTCAGTGCTCAAGGAAGATGCACGTCTCAGGCAGGCAATGGCCAAGGATGCAGAATTGCTAAAGCAATACGAGGCCGAGTTGCATGATGCATCACACTTCTATGAGTGGCAGGAAAAGATGAAAAAGATTCATGGCAAAGCCTTGGCAAGCTTTGCTCGGGCAGTTTTGTGTAGTGTAGTCATGCAAAAAGAAGGACAGTTTTATTGACATGATTTTGTGAAAAGTCCGATTCGCATGAAGCATCCTACCTACCAGGAAGGACGACATGGACGAAGAGGCCCGCATGAAGGAACGGCTTATCCAAACCCAACTGACACGCGAGAGCGCAAAAGAAGCGCACGACGCATCCAACAGGCTGAAAGGCATTCAGGCAGAGCATCAGATGCTTGGACACCTTTAGCAAGACCATAAGATGCTAGTGCACAAGTTGAGATTGGGAAGTGCAAAAGCGTGACACAAGGAAACGTGGGATACAAGCTCAACTCGCAACTTGTCCTAAAAAGGCTGCGTTGTCCTGTGTGCCACGCACGTGTTGAATCTGTAATTGCATTTGCTAAGGACGTCAGAGACAAAGAGCTCCTGTCTCAATGTTTTGACAGATGCTTCCGTTTTGCCTGTCGAAGCTTTGCATGGCCATGCACGCCCTGTGTTCTTTATTGGAAATGGGCTTTGGGCTGAGGCAGGAAGCTGAACTTGAAGAGAAGCAGAAGCTGGTTGAGCACACCTGTGAGGAGAGAGAGAAGGTCTGCAAATGCTTGCAACCAGTTCATGCAAGTGTGGACAGCTTCATCATAGTCAAACAGAAGATCGCAGAGAGAGAGAGAGAGAGATGGAGATAAAAATGCAGATAAAGAGAGACGGGGAGAGCATATTGGAGGGGAGAGTATATTGAACGCTTCTGGCCTTTTTTTGTTGGGACTTTGCCAGACTGCAACCTGTTGGTTCTGGTCTTTACTGGTCCAACATGGCTCATAGCGTCTTAACACAATGTGTTTTTTTAGTGGTCATTTCATTTAAACAAATACAGGACATGCTTTGTGCTGCCAAACGGTGGCTTGCAATGTTCCTTGTGGCCGATTTCTTTTTCCAAAGCTGCAGAACTTAGACTGGCTACAGTATAAAGCGGCCTGCCGATGCCAGGCCCGGATCGCAGAGCAGGAGGTCCTAAGCCTGAAGCAAGAGACCGCGGAGTGTCTTGGCCTACGCCGTACGAGCGAATCATTTGCAGGCAGGCCTAGCCGTTCGACTTTTGCTCTCAAGGCAGCGCTGGAAAGAGAAGGAGCTAGAGATGTCAAAGAAGAAAAAAGAGGAAGAGTTGGAGATGGATCGCAGCACAGTCGCAGATTACACAGCAGAGAATAAATTAAGCAGCTTTCCTGCTCTGGTGTTCACACCCTTGCGTCAACTGGGCCCCTATCCACTGACAGTAGACTCAGCAGAAAAGCCACACCAAGACTGTGTTTCCCTTCGCAACTGAAAGCTGCAGTCACAAAACTCAGCAGTCTCACCTATATATCATGAATGACCCTTTGCTCCTAGTAGCGTTCTTGTTCCTAGTAGTGCGGTCAGGAGCCCCTAGTAGCGTCCTTGCTCCTACTGATATATATATATATAATATATAATTATCTCTCCTTAGGTTCCCCCCAGTTGGTCTCACATCTCACGTTGAGACAAGGTCAACTCACATGTCTCCCCATTTGGCCTCATCACATATATGTGATTTCTCTAGACCCCATTTATGTCTCATCAATGGCAATCACTGCATGTTCGCTGTAGCTCCCAGGCATTCCACCGGCCTCCCACCCCATGTAGCATGACCATTGTTCACAATTGTGGCATACCCCAGCGGGAAACCAAGTGGAAAACAAGTGTAGGATATTCAGGACACGCGTCGAATTTGCAAATCATGTTGCTCAGCAATGACATCCAAGGGAAGAGAGATCTTATCCGCCAAATCCGGGCGTTGGAGAGGGTGCCACGAGAATCAGCGAAAGTATTTGATCGGGCTGAGGCCACATCAGAGCATTCTGCACACGATTTGTTTAGTCTTTAGTTGAGCCAAAGTGACACATGCAAAGAGATCTAAAGACAGCTGTAGGCGCCAGGTCATGGACTCTTGGAGGAGATGTCGATGGCAGAACTGAAAGAGAGACTGAAAGTAATGCATGCACATCACCAGAGGACTGACACTTGCAAGTTTCATTCCCAGAATGTATATAGCAGCATGTGTGGAAAGTTTTTGATTGCCCAGCCCAGACAACTGTCAAGTCCTCGCAGGGCCTTATTTGAGAAGCGAGAACGACAACTAGCAAAAAAGGCTCAATACGGGAGTGGCTGAAAAGAAGCATTCAGCTTTCTCCTTGACCTGTTCTGTGATAGCTATAGCTCCCAGAGGGTTTCTGACGATTTCTGATGTGCTGTTTCATGTGTGTCCTTACTTGAGCCTTGAGCCATCACTTCCGCGTGTCTTGAAAGTGGGAAGATGAGAGACACTACACAGCTGAACTACACAACCGGATCTGGGAACAAAACGGGGAGGCAGGGTCGGTGTAAGTTTATTTTTTGACTGTCTTGGATGATATGGGG